CTTCTGACACGGCACCCGTGAGCTAATAGTGGTTTGATCCTCACAAGGCACCAACCCCACTACGAGTGGTAGAAAATGTTCAAACCCGCACAGAGTAAGAACCACACACATCTACCCACACTACGATACCCAGTCAACGGCCACCCATGGTCATCCAAACACCTCCATGAGATACAATCACCAACAATTTCTCAAATCACAAATACATTCAAAAAACCTCAATTTTCACAATTTGTAATACAATAAAACAATTTAAGAAACTAAGCAAGAGATCCTCATAAATACCATTTTGTGGTTCAATATAAAGCACTAAAGTTTTGAAATCAAGAACAAAGAAAAAATCAAGATAAAAATCTCTATTTCTTAAAAGAAACAAGGGTTTTGAGATTACAAGGATTTCATGGCTATCAAACCATAACTTCATTCAAAATATGATAATATTTGCAAGAGTATCAAGAAATAATGATTTTATAACATACATCTAAGATTTAGAAGAAAAATATACATAGATATAAACTATAGCCTCAATGGACAAGAATAGGAAGAAACCCCCACCTAGGATCAAGAATTCCAAGTAAAACCCAAGCTTCAGAGCCTTTCTTCTTCCCTTTTCTTTTTCCCTTTTTCTTCGCCTATAGTTCTAAGAGGTTTTGGGTGAGAGATATGAAAAAAAATGGAAGAAAAGGGCTAGAATTTGTGTTTTAAATACAACAGTCCGTGACAGTTACTGTTCACAGGCTAATTTTTGGATTTTCTCTAAAATTATGGTTTTACCACTAAAAATCTCCAATTTAAGCNCTAGAATTTGTGTTTTAAATACAACAGTCCGTGACAGTTACTGTTCACAGGCTAATTTTTGGATTTTCTCTAAAATTATGGTTTTACCACTAAAAATCTCCAATTTAAGCCATATGACTACCCTAAGGTTTTTCAACGTTCTGGATTCATTTTTAATGTTATTTTAACCTAAAAATATTTATTTTTATGATTTATCTTAAAATTAAAGTAAATTTACATTTAAAACACTAAAATTACTATTTTATTCCTCCGAGCCGCTATATGTGCTAAACGGCTATTCCAAATTTTTCGGATCTCCCAGGTTCAATGATAATATTATTTTGACCTAAAAAAAATTAATATTTTTACTTAGTTACCCTTATCAACCTTAAACACCTCCAAAATTAAATTTCACAATTAATTTGTCTCCCTAGTATTTATTCCTATTATTACAATCTATAGGGTTCATGCATACCTCATCACCTATATTAGTATTTCAAAAATAATTACTTGCTATATACAGATAAGAGTGTGGGGGTTTAAAAATCCCCTCCATATCTTCTTCAAAATAAGTTTGGGGTCAATCTCCTCCATATCTTCTTCTTTCAAAGCAAAAATATTGGTGTTTTTCCTTCAATAAATGAATTAATTGTTCCTTGATGTCCTATAGTAGCATAGAGCCTGCAAAGGCCACATGCCCAAGGTCTTTGTCTATGTAAACTGGTTTCAGCTCCTCCGAGGGTATAGGTCGGGTCTCAATCTCATCCCTCATACCTGATCGTTTACCTAGACAGATTTCACTTCCTTCTACCTCTTTGATGTGACGTAGCACTCCCTAGCAACACGTTGGTCCCCTCTCACCACTCCAACTCCATTTTCATTTGGGAAATTCATGACAAGTGATAAGTCAAAGGGATGGCTTTGATGGAGTTGAGAAAGGGTCTACTGAGCAAAACGTTGTATGTAGAAGGTGCATCCACCATAAGGAACTGGACCGCAGTGGTGATCTAGTAAGGGTGGTATCCTAACGTGAGAATAAGCTAGATTGATCCCAAAGGCATGAATCTCTCCCTCAAGAAACCTAACAGATGGGTCTTCACGAGTTCAAGCTTGGACTTGTCTATTCCGAGTTGTTCGAAAGTAGAGAGAAAAAGGACGTCGATCGAGCTGCCGTTGTTGATGAGAACACGATGCACTATCTTGTTTGCAATAATAAATTTCATTACTAGGGGTGTGATGGGGGAGCTGGCATCCATCCAAGTCAACATCTGAGAGGGTTATTTCGGGATCGCTGGGTGGAGCATTCCGAATTATCAGGACGTCAAGAAAATCTAATCTGGCCCTTTTGGTGTGTGCTCTCTTAGCTAAGCTTGACTCTCCTCCCCCAACGAAACCTCTTGAGATGACCCTGATCTCTCCTTGGGTGTATTGGTGTTGTTGCTGGCGGCCATTTCAGTCTCTTTCATTCTGATCTCTTTCTCCCCCCGCCATGTAGTGCCTCAAGTGGCCCGCTGGGCGAGATATTCGATTTCCTTCTTCAAATAGATACAATCATTGGTATTTTGACCATAGTATTTATGAAAGTCATAACATTTGGTTGGGTCATACCTTCGAGGATCTGACTTCATCCTAGGAGGTCATCTGATGAATCTCTTATTTTGGACCTCATTGAGGACCTGAGAGATGGTAGCATTGAGAGGGGTTGTGTCAAACTAACACATATCGTGGTTGAAACTCTTGAGGTGGTGGTCCTAGGGGGACCTTGACGTTCTACCTCCTTTTGGGGGATGGTTCTTTCTCTCTCTTTGGGGATCAATCTCATCTTCTTTCTTTCCTTGGGCTGCAATCTCTCTTTTTTTTCTTGCCCTCATTCAAGGTCGAAGCACTCCCCTTCATACGGAGCGCCTCCTCTCAATTTATGTATTTCCCTACATTGATGAGGACCTTAACCATTGTCTCCTAGGGGTTCTTAACGATTGAGAATAGTAAATTTTTGGACTGGAGACCAAATCCCTACATAATGGTGGTCAAGGCAAACTTGTCATTTATATTTTCAACTTTCAGGGACTATTGATTGAACCTCTGTACATAGCTTCTAAGAGATTCATTGGGTCCTTGCTTAACACTCAAGAGATGGTAAGATGGTTTTCGATAAGCTTGTGCCCCAATGAAGTGAGACGCAAACTGTATGGAGAGTTCTAGGAAGGAGGAGATTGATGCTTTGAAGCATGTTGTTGCCGACCCTTTGAGGGTAATGGCGAAAGCTCAGTAATAGATGGCATCGGGAATCCATGGAGCTCCATTTGGTTCTTGTATGAGTTGAGGTACTGTACAGGGTATTTAATTCCATTGAACTCATTTATCTGCGGCATTCTAAACTTCTAGGGCAAAGGAAAATATAAGATTTTCGTAGCAAACAAGGATCTGGTTTGTTGGACTAGGGCGTCCATGGTCATAGGGGTTTTCCTTTTCACTACTTCCTTGACGTTTCCCAGCTCCTACTAGATTTTTCAAAACCTTCGCTCCTAGAAATTGTCCTTGGTGTCATGTTAGGGAGGAGGAAGGCAATCTTCTCTTGGAATGGCTCTGGCGCAGCTGTGAGCCTCGTCGTCTATTCTCCCTTCTTACAACTGTCGACAGTGGTTTTCTCCTAAGTGACTATGGTCATGGACGTCTATGACTCCATTGGGTGGAGGTAGGTTTTGACAATCCTGAAGAGGATGGTAGTTTTGAGCTGGTTTTGGAGGTGGCACAGGAGGCGCAAGTGGGGCCTGATGGAGATGGTGTGCATGAATCCACGCTATGAGGTCTTGATTTTGCTTTACCAGCTGTCCTGGAGCTATGGTCCCCAAAGCCTTTCTGCATCCACTACTAGCTGATTGTAGTACTTGATCCGTCTCCACTACTTGTAGATTTTTATTCATCAGAGCTGTTAGGTAATGTTCCCTTGCCCCAAGTCCACATGTCATGCTACAGCTTTTGCAGACTGGCCCTGTGTTGTACTCACATCTCCCGAGCTAGTGGTTGTACTGAGCTCATTAATATTGAGCTTCCATGGAATTGGCCCGTAGCCCAATTCGAACTCAAGGAATATTGTCTAAATGAGTTGTTTGGGCCACTTTCTCCAAGCCTAGAGGATTTTGGACTCTAAAAAGTTTCAGACTTAAATCAATCATTAGAAAAGATTATAGTTGAAAAAGTATTTTGGAACTTTCACATTTTTCATCCATTCCATCAATTAACTTTGTTCATTAGAAACATTAAGGGCGTACATTATTTAAATTGAAATTAGAAGGAGTTGATTGTAATGTGACCCATATTTGAAGGCGACATTTTATAATTAACCCTTAAGTAAAAGATATGCATGGTTAAATTCATGAATAGATGCAATTAAGTATTTAACTTCCGAGTATAATTGCACCTATGGATAGAACTAAATTGGCCAACCCTGTTACATCAGACCCCTGCCCTGCTTACAAAATTCGGATCTTCTCAGTACGTACCGGCACTTGGCCTAACCAGGAATTTATACCTGAGTCAGATCATAATTTTGTTGGGCCGTTATAGACAAGTCGCGGCCCAACATTTTTGATTAACTGATCTGGGTAGATGGCCGAGCTCATGGCCTTTAGAGACTAGCCCAGGTCCGACACTTTCAGGCTAATTGATCTGGGCAGACTACAGGGCCATACCCTTTAGAGCCCAGCCCAAACAAGTTGGGGTTTAGGCTAAGTGTTCTGGACAGACCATTGGGCCCATGGGCAGCACTTCAATTCGCGAGCAAAGGCAAAGGTCATCAAAACGGTCATTTCGTTACAAAATCCTTTTACTGTGTTTGCCCAGAATTTGGACGGACTGTTGTGTTTTTCCCATCTCAGGATTTGGGAAAGAAATTTTAGGGCTACCAGAGAACTACAGAAAAAACTAACGGAGGGTTTTGATTTGCCTCTCAGTAGGGAGGTTTGAATTATCTTCAATCAATCACCCATAACCCCCACCACTACCGTAGTCGTCGTCGTCGTCGTCTTACTGTGTCCATTTTTGTGTGGATATACGTATTTATACTGATAAATCTCAATTCATCCCTTTCTGGATCTCATCACGGGGCCCGAGTTTGGATCACCCATCTCACAAGAGGTACATCTCTCTGTCTCGGTCTCTGTCTCTCTCTCTCTCTCTCTCTCTCACACACACACACACACACACGAGTTTCTGTTCATGTTAATGTGTATAACAAGGCGGTGTGGTTTTACCCAAATTAGTACCTGACGCGATAAACAAAATCCAAGTTGGCTACTCAAATCTGAACCCAACTTAGTTGACTCTCATTTTTGCTGAACTCTATTTATGTGTCTCTCATCCTCATTTACCTCATTTTAGGTTTATATATTGGTTGGTTATGTGTTATAAGAATAGCCATTCGGAAAATCTGGCTATTAGGAGAGAATGGAATGGTGGGTGGCATTTGAATAGCAAGAAAAAGCTGTTTGCGTAGTCGAGCATGGAGAATCATTCTTTATCTGTAGTACCCGATTCGACTCTTGCTTTGGCAGATTATTCTTTGGTAATTGGGCAAGAATTCCCGGATGTTGAAACTTGTAGAAGAGCCCTCAAAGATATTGCAATAGCTTTGCATTTTGACCTTAGAATTGTGAAATCTGATCGTAGCCGGTTTATAGCCAAATGCTCAAAAGAGGGTTGTCCTTGGCGTGTCCACGTGGCAAAATGTCCAGGAGTTACTACATTTTCAGTTAGAACCCTTCATGGAGAGCATACTTGTGAAGGGGTTCGGAATTTGCATCATCAGCAGGCATCCGTAGGGTGGGTTGCAAGGTCTGTTGAAGCACGTGTTCGGGATAATCCACAGTATAAACCAAAGGAAATTCTGCAAGATATTCGGGATCAGCATGGAGTTGCTGTGTCTTATATGCAAGCATGGCGTGGGAAGGAGCGCAGCATGGCTGCATTACACGGAACTTTTGAAGAAGGGTACCGTCTCCTTCCCGCATATTGTGAACAGATACGAAAAACTAATCCAGGGAGCATAGCATCGGTTTTTGCCACCGGACAAGAAAATTGCTTCCAGCGCCTCTTTGTTTCATTCCGTGCATCAATCTATGGTTTTATAAATGCTTGTAGGCCGCTTCTGGAACTTGACAAAGCAAATCTCAAAGGAAAATACTTGGGGACATTACTTTGTGCTGCAGCTGTTGATGCTGATGATGCGCTGTTTCCATTGGCAATTGCTGTTGTTGACATGGAAAGTGATGAGAATTGGATGTGGTTCATGTCAGAACTGCGGAAACTCCTGGGAGTTAATACTGACAGCATGCCTAGACTTACAATATTATCTGAAAGACAAAGAGGCATGGTGGAGGCAGTAGAGACTCATTTTCCAAGTGCATTTCATGGTTTTTGTCTGCGTTATGTTAGTGAGAATTTTCGTGATACATTTAAGAACTCAAAGTTGGTGAACATTTTTTGGAATGCTGTTTATGCTCTTACAGCAGTTGAATTTGAAAGCAAGATTGCTGAGATGGTAGAGATTTCACAAGATGTCATAACATGGTTTCAGCAATTTCCCCCTCAACTATGGGCGGTAACATATTTTGAGGGAGTGCGGTATGGTCATTTCACAGTGGGGGTCACAGAACTGTTATATAATTGGGCGCTAGAATGCCATGAGCTCCCCATTGTGCAAATGATGGAGCACATTCGACATCAGTTGATGTCATGGTTTAATGATCGGCGTAATATGGGCATGAGGTGGACGTCAATTCTTGTACCATCTGCTGAGAAACGGATTTTAGAAGCAATTGCGGATGCTCGTTGCTATCAAGTACTTCGTGCCAATGAAGTTGAATTTGAGATTGTGTCAACTGAGCGAACAAACATTGTGGACATCCGGAGTCGAGAGTGTTCTTGTCGCCGCTGGCAACTCTATGGTCTGCCATGTGCGCATGCTGCTGCTGCACTCATTTCTTGTGGGCAGAATGCCCATCTTTTTGCTGAGCATTGTTTCACAGTAGGTAGTTACCGTGAGACCTATTCACAGATGATATATCCTGTCCCAGATAAAAGCCTGTGGAAGGAACCTGGTGAAGGAGCAGAGGGCGGAGGTGCTAAAGTTGATATCACAATACGCCCACCCAAAACCCGTCGGCCCCCTGGCAGGCCCAAAAAGAAGGTTCTTCGTGTAGAGAGTTTGAAGCGTCCAAAAAGAGTTGTTCAGTGTGGTCGCTGCCATCTGTTAGGACATTCTCAAAAAAAATGCACAATGCAATTATGATCCTAAACTGGTTGTCAAAAATTTGTTTCTCTTTGGTCATCTGCAATTTTCATGGAATTGATTGTGTTTGTAAAATTGCTGTATGTCCTTAACAATGCAGTTCACAATAAGCACTTGGCTCTTTGTGGCATAGTTTCATATTTTCCCATTTGTATATGTTAGCGGAAAGCTGTCTTTTTTATCCTCTGTTGCCAATTGTGTAACTGTTTACTGTCCTCTGTTATATTAAACTAAGTTTTTCTGGAATTGTTTCTCCATTTACTGGTTTCTCATATCAGCATTTGTTGGGATTTGATACCTATGCCAGGAAATTCTTATTGATCTTCACAATTCATCTGTACTTCTTTACTAGCTTGTTCAGAAGATTTTTTTTTTCCTTGTATTCATTATTCAGTTGCTACTGTACTACTAGTTGTAATTTTGACATATGTTTCCAACTATTCTGTTGGAGGCCTTGTACAGAATTTCATGGTAGTTTTCTTCTTTAGTCGTTGTGTATATTTGAAGCAGTGTTTCACCTTACGAATGATTTTTGCATTTCTTTGATACATTGAAAGTTCTGTCATTTATGGACCCTGTTAGATTTTGCAAAGGAGGTTATTTTATAAATGGTCTGGGCTCTGGACTAGAAGTATATTCTGCACAAAATATTGTTCGTTACTTTTTATTGTCTTTGATATGGTTGTGACATAATGATGTTCTTTTGGTTTTATGACTTTGTTGTGTACTTTTTGCAAATAAATATGGCCAGAAGTGTGGATCCTTCCTGGATTGTATGGATCGCCATATATTAACGTAGTATGTGATGGAGAAGAACTAAACGGAATTTTGACAGATATCAAGGTTGTGGGCTAGCTAATTTATTTGTTTTGACTTGTTTTGTTCCTAATTAAGTCCTCTTTATTGACTTGGTAATTCTTTTGCATTTTTCTGGCAGATTCTGTAAGAATACAAGCATAATGGAGTAGGGCTTGGCTCCTTTAGAGAGCTACTAATTTCTTTTTTCTTTTTTTTTTGGGAAAATTGGTAAAACTCCACACAATGATTGGATACCTGTAAGTTGTTTCCCCTTCTATTGTTGCTCTAATTCTATGGTTCTTGAGCATTACATATCAATCATATCTATTCAATCCCAAGTTTCTGAATATGGGTGGAGGATTTCATTGGAGAGAGAGAGAGAGAGAGAGAGTTATCCTTGAATTTATTTTTTGATAGAAAATGAAATGATATTATTAAGCAATTATAACTTTTTGCGTTCCCATGGTTTGGCCAATACCTAATTTTCTTAATTTTTGCATCCCCGAACACCTCATTGGCATTTGGCAGTCTTCTTAATTTTCACCTATTCCTATTCTTCACGGTCTTCACAATCTTGCACTTTCTATCTCAATAACTTCGGTTCCCTCGGTGACTTTCCACTTTCCAAAACTTCCCTCTTTCACTTTTTGTTATTATAGGGATTCACTTTTGGGTTCTTTAACACCTTCAAATTCCTTTCATAAAAGAACCTTGATGTGCAGCAGTAAGTCTCCTTTTTCTCTTCATACACTGATAGTACGATTCCATTATTGGTTGTTTACCTCACTTTGGTTTAATGTCGTTTTAGAAGTTTTATTGGGGGATGATGAAGAAGAGAACCAGTGATCCCTTCAATATATTTGATTACAATCGAGATCCTAATGCCATGGCTATTCAGGTCAATTTCAATCTCTCCAAAGGGTGTCCATCTCTCCATTTTTTCTCTCTATGCAAATAGTTCTACACATATACTTCAGAACTTGGAGTATGAATCCAAAGCTGAAGAAAAAGTGTGTTAGGTCAAACGTGTTGGTGGGACGGATGGGGCTATGGTGTTGACTTTTAGCGAGAAAGAGTTGTCACTATTTTTTTTTCTTTTTTTTTGGTTTTTCTGGTTGTAGAATTTTTGTTATGTGTATGCAGAATTTTCAAGAGAGTTGCCACTATTTTTTTTTCTTTTTTTGGTTTTTCTGGTCGTAGAATTGTCCTTACGTGTATGCAGAATTTTCATACCTTTCATGTATTATCGAATTGTTGTTTTTCATATTTGATCGATTTTTGATATTTTAATACATCGGCGAGTGTTTTTTTGTTCTACAATTTTCGAACAAGGTGCATTTTCGGGATTCTAAAAGAGTGACGAGGTAAAAGGAGTGTCACTTTTTTCCTCTTTCTCATATTCCATAATTTCCTTTCTTTGTTCTTTCATAGACATCTTCAATTTCATATTTTTGGCATATCGGGATTCTCAGAATGATACTGGTTACTATGCGGGGATAAATCCATGCAAAGGGTCACCAACTCGCACGGACAGAGAGGGTGGCGGATAAGCCTTGGTGACCCTACAAAAGATGAAAACACTTAGGTGAACCGATGGCCAGAGGCGGCCAAAGAGACTCTGATGCTTAAGTCAGTAAGCAAGTCGAAGAAAAGTGTATGTAGTGAATAGGGTAGGAGTCAATGACATACCTGGTACCCGTAACCTTTATTTGTAGTGATATTGGAAGCGGTGTTCCAAGTAAAATCGAACTCTAGGTTGTGATAGGATAGACCTCATCATCAATCTCCTATATGTTCATGGTAGAATCATACCAGGACGTTGAGTCCTGGCTTGTTGGAAGGGATATGCTCGCTGGGAGGCTTTATTTATCAATATTAACTTGATACTCAAAGTCGGGTTTTCCTAGGACTCTAGATCCGAGTCAATCCTTAGCTGAGTAACAAGGTGAGCACCGAGCAAAGGCGAAGATGCTGATGCCCACACAGGGGAGCAGCTGAGGTGATGCAGGGCTGGGGGACAGACTGGGTGACACCAGCTAGGCAATGCCAAGCTGGTCACGTGCGTAGGAGATGGGTGACGCATTGTTGGTTTTGGGCACCGACGCCAGGTGTTAGGCTAGCTGGGCGCTAACTGTGGTGGGCAATGCCTGGAGGCTACTGTGGTGGGTGATGCCTTGGTACTTGTTGTGGTGGGCGACGCCTGTCCCACAATTGCCCCCATACCTCATTTAATGGAGTAAATTAAATAAGGTATAAACCTGAACTAAATCCATAAAGTCCATTCCCGTTCTTTCATCCGTTACTTGTCTTTGAGCTTCTTTGGGGGGAGAGAAAAATCCTATAGCCTTGAAGAGTGGCAAACGCTGCTGCCACCAACTAGAAATTTCCTTTTTGCATAATTTTTAAAATTTTTCTATAGGCCCCAAGTATAAATATTTGAATGTTCTTCATGCGTTTGTTTGAAGTTTTGAATGTCATTCATATGTTCTTCATGTGTTCTTCATTCTGGGTTAGGTTTGTATGGGACTTAGTTTTTGGGTTTGGTTGTTGGGTAAGTGCTCCTATTTGGGTCGAACCGTTGGGGTTGTATAAGGTGGGTGTTGGCTAGTTAGCCTAGTCTTAGACCCTTTGAGTCCTTCTTGACTGATCTGCTTCAAGTAGAGACCTCCAAATACTACAAGTGTCGAAGTAAGAGAGGTGACTAGGAGTTTGCCCTGATGCCACTAATGACTGTTTTTGCCCCTGCACCATTGGAGAGCTAGGTTGGTAACTTATACCTTCTTGTTACTTCTATATATTGCCCTTTCTCTTGCTGCTTTATTAAATTTACTTTTTTGTGTGCCTACTCTGCTACATCTGATATCGGAGGATAAGGGGACCTAGTAACAGAGACGTTGTTAAGTCCTTATACACCCCCTTGGAAGGTTTTGTGTACGGAGCTTTCGAAAACTCCGCACCATTTTTTTTTTTTTGACTTTGTCATGGGGTATACCTCCTTTATTTCCCTGCTCCTGACATCACAGCTTGCAAAGCAAACAAGTACTTTAAATTAGGGCTCTTTCATCCAACTGTGTCAAGGAGAGGCTTAGGCGAAAGAGGCTTGGACTTGACATGAATATTGAGGAGCTGTTAGAGTCACAAGAGGTGAATAATGAGCACATTAGTAGGCCTGTAAAAGGAGCAAATATCAAGGGTATCGCCAACTGGCTTGGTTGATTCTATCTATCGATGGCCCCTACAGGTAAGTTATTTTTTTTTCTCGTCTTCAGTCATTGAATTGCAACCATGGAGGTTGGGTTTAGGAGTGCAACCGTGAAGGTTGGCTTTAAGAGGTGCAACCAAGGAGGTTGGCTTTAGAAGTGCAACCATGGAGGTTGACTTTAGGAGTGCAACAGTGGAGGTTGGCTTTAAGAATGCTTAGAGTTGTAAAGAACAAGCTTCTCTTTATTAATGATCTAGAACAAATGTCATTGTAGACTTATTGTAATGATAAGATATTACTACCTAGAAGTAAAACTTTCTAAGGTTGATGATATTACAAGGTTGGCGAACTGGTTTTCCATCAAGTTCCTCCAACCTATAGGCTCCTGTTCCTACTCATGCTACGACCCTATAATGTCTTTCTTAGTTGGGGCCCAGCTTACCATCCATAAGGTCCTTAGTTTGAGCGAGAACTTTACGGAGAACCAAGTCAATAAGTGTGAAGCAACTTTCTTTAACCTTCTTATTGTAGGATCTAGCCAACTCCTGTTGATATGCTGCCAGCCGAACCATTGCTTGGTCCCTTCTTTCTTCAATAAGATCCAAGTTGTGTTCGAAGGTTTGATTATTGTTACCTTGCTCATAGACCTCGGTTCTTATAGTTGGTAAACTTGTTTCAAGAGGAATAACGACCTCTATACCATATGAGTGGGAGAAAAACGTCTCTCTAGTAGAACGCCTTGGGATTCTTCGGTAAGCCCAAAGCACCATTGGAAGTTGCTACACCCACCTTCCTTTGGCTGATTCAAGCTTCTTCTTGATACCATCAAGGATAACCTTGTTAGAAGCTTCAACTGGTCCATTTGATTGAGGGTAAACATGAGAGGAATAATAATTACGAATCCCATACCCCAAACAAAATTTTTTGAAAGCTGAGCCGTCAAATTGAGTGTTATTATCATATATAAGGGCGTAAGCAATTCCATACCTTGCGATTGATTTATCCCATACAAACTTCTTAGTATCAATATCACGGATGTTAGAGAGGGGCTTGGCCTCAATCCATTTTTGTGAAATAGTTAATTGCAGTGATGAGATACCTTTTGTTGGATGGAGCCTGAGGAAGGGGACTTACTATGTCGAGACCTCATTGAGCTAATGTCCAAGGGCTCGTGAGTGATTTTAGGTCACCTACTGGTTGTCGAGGTATAGTAACAAACCTTTGACACTTATTGTACTTCCTGAGGTGTACTTTTGCGTCCTTCTGCATATACAGCCACCAATATCCCTGGGAG